ATTAGCGATTATGAGCTTCATCCCCGTTGATATTACAACAAAAAATCAGCATGTTTCTGAAAATTGTGAGCAAGTACATGCAAAGACAAATTGTCAAGGTTTTGAACCTGTAAATTGGAGACATAGTTTAGGAATGACCTACATTATAGTCTACTCAGTGTTCGGGAAAATGGTGAGGTTGGTAGCAAAACCTCCTGTTAGAAATATGGTGTGTTTTTCTATTTTGCATTCCCCAGCTGACACAGATAACAGAGACAATGAGAGCTAAGTCTGTGGTCTTTAGGTACCTATGGATGTCTATCTACCTTATGGTGAGTTTTGATATTTTGAATATCTATGATTAAAATTTAATTTGAATATAGGTTGATAGATTTGTTTCAGCTTTGTGTTTCCCTGTTTACGTAGGTTAGATCAGAGAGGTTTCATTGGAGTCACTTTTTACAGATTGCTAAAGACCCCTCAGGGAATATTAAGGCTGTATTTGGACAGTCCCTTGAATTATAGCACAGAAACTTTAATGCCTACCTCAGGGATGATAGGGGTCTTAAATAGGTAGTCCTATTTACTAAAGAAACCTAGAGTTTTCTTAGATTGCCAACCTTAGCAAGACAAGAAATGTCAGGGTGACAGAGTTTAAGTGGCTCTTTTCAGAAATGTTACACTGATTCCCTATATTTAAGATGCAAAACAGCCTCCCAAGAGCTATTTAATTAAGTGAAAGTAAGTCTAGTCCCTCTGGAACTGAATGCTTCAGTGAGCAAACACCTATCAGCAAGCGAAGGAAGTGGGGATGTTATTATGTGCTTCGTACACGTGGTGACAGTTCATAACCCTGCATCAAGGATTCTAAACAGTGATTGGTTGAGGAAATAATCAAACTGAGTTTAAATTTCAGCAGGTGCAAAATTGTCATGCAAAAGTCCAGGACAGTGTGCTATTCTCAGGCTTCAAAGAGACACATAAGAAGTTCTGGATTTTCAAGGTCCCTTTGAAGGCCTTTAAGGTAAGGTGAAACATCCTCTTTACTCAGAACCAACCAATTCCTCTAGAAAAAACTTTGAATGTCAGAAAAGCCACGCTTGATTTTAAGAAGTGAATAACCCTCATGATTTTGATGTCATATCAAGCATATATATTCAAAGATACTAGAAAATTATGTAGTAAGGGATGCTAATACCTGATAAACCATTGAAGAATAGGACTTTTTTTCACAGTCAGAATGTCATTAAAATATCAGTTACAGAAAAAAAATTACTTATACTCAGAAAAAAATACACATAAGGCAAAGTAAGTTTTTGTTTTGTTTTGTTTTGTTTTGAGAGGTTTTTGCTATAGGGTGCGCGCGCTCGCCAGACAGACAGAGAGAGACATAGAGACAGCGAGAAATCACCCCCCAGGAGGGATGGTCATGCCGCAATCCCTTCTCCTCCATTCTCCTCTCGTGATCTTGGGCATGCACGCACACGCACCCGGCGTGAGTTTTAAGTCACTGGGTCCGGGACGCAAACCACGGTCTACTACGTGGGAGTCCAGCGACATAGCCATTACACTAACTGCTAGTCCCCAAAGCAAGTATTTTAATCCTAAAATATTAACAACAAAATGAATAATTAGATTAGTTTATGCACAATTTACTAAAACTCCATTACTGTTATTTTTATTCAGAAAAAATAGTTTTTAAGAGCCTTAACTCTAGTCAGTCTTTTTTTTAGCCTCTGCATTGCATTGTTAAAAAATGTGATGGGATTTAATGTAAAAGAAAACAATCTCTTCCTCGAAATAGTAACAATAACAACATTAATACATTGGTTCTTACTAAAAAATAAACATCTATTTAAAACTTTGATTTAACACATTATGCTGTATTTATTTCAAATTTGACTAACCCAGAAACTTAGAAACTCCATGAGGTCAGGACTTATATTTATTTCTGAAGCTTAGTATCTGGACCCAAATTAGGCCATTTGATGTTTGCTGAATGAATGAATGAAACTCTGTTTAAATATAATTTCTTGGCTCTTGTAAAATAGGTTTTTGGCTAGGAAAATAATTTTTTTTCTTTCTTTCTTCTCTCTCTCTCTCTCTCTCTTTTTTTTTTTTTTGGTATTTGCTTCCTTTACTTAAGCTACCTAGAGATTCTGCCTTCTGCTTCAATCATATTCCATTTTAAAATATTTTGATACGTTTGGACAGAGAAAGACCTATTACCAAAAATTGTCAAACTGGGGTAGAAATTCGATAATAATCTGGCCACTGATTAGTCTGGATTAAAAATGAGATAATGTAGATTTCAAAAATAGGGAACCAGCAGTTAGCATAATGGCTATGTCGCTGGATTCCCACGTAGTCGACCGCAGTTCGTGTCCCGGACCCGGTAGCTTAAAACTCACGCCGGGCGCGTGTGCGTGCGTGCCCAAGATCCCAAGAGGAGAATGGAGGAGAAGGGATTGCGGTGTGACCATCCCCCCTGGGGGGTGATTTCTTGCTTTCTGTCTCTCTGTCTCTCTCTGTCTGTCTGGTGAGCGCACGCGCCCTATAGCGAAAATCTCTCCAAAAAAAAAAAAAAAAAAATATATATATATATACCCTAGACTTTCAAACAGGCTTAAATTAAGTTTTGCTTTTCACTATTTTACTAGTTACTTTTCCAAATCCACTTGGTAATTGCTAAATCTCATTTCATGTACAACAATAAATGAAATAATCTGAAAGAGGTTCATACAGTTCTGAGGGGCCTGCTTCCAACTGACAACATTTAGGCCTTTTGGTAGTAGCCTTTCAATGCACGTACGTGCCCTGGTAAGTGGTGACGTGTATCACAGTGTAATTGTTCTGGAGTGGGGCTGAAGGAGACCTACAGGGATTGCTGGACTGCAGTTCAGACACGAGATGCACATAATTTTGGCCTTCACATAGGTACCTTACCAGGACATGATGGCTCCTTCAAATCACAGTGTAGACTGGCCTTCTGCAGTCTATGTAGTAATTAGATGTGAGACTGCAAAGTACAGTCTAACTCCTGCTTCCCAAACAGCTGGCCTGCACTATCCATGCCCTGGAGCTCTGCGTTATACCTGCCCTTAGGTCACTGTCGCTTCATTTAAGTCAATAGCGTTTCTGAAGGCGCTCTAACTAGTCTTTCTGCTGAACAACTGAGTAAGCACTTTTTTCCCTTCAGTAACTCTGGAATTGTGTCCTCTCTTCTGTGAAGAAGTACCAAGAATTCTAATGATAGTTGATATTCACCAGTGTGTTATTGTATTTCTCCTATGAACATGAAATTCAATCAAGGCCACTTTTTGACATGCAGCATTACAATCTATAAATCCAGTGGAAGTTTGTGAAGTAGGAGTAAAACTCTACCTTCTGGGACCAGCAGATGGTGTAATGGTTGCATCACTGGACTCCCACGTATTCGACTGAAGTTCAAGTCCCAGACCCGGCGGCCTATAACTCATGCCAGGGGTGTGTGCATGTGTGCCCCAGATCCTGAAAGGAGAATGGAGGAGAAGGGATTGTGGTGTGGTCATCCCCCCAGAGGGTGATTTCTTGCTTTCTGACTCTGTCTCTCTCTGCTATCTCTGGTGAGCGCATATGCCCTACAGCAAACATCTCTAAAAAACAAACAAATGAACAAAAGAAAACTTTACCTTCCTATAGTAATAATATCATTATATCAAGAAATCCAGTTTGCAGTGAGTACAAACTTAAATTTTTGAGTCGCACAGATTATTTAACATCTATTCCAATGCATCAAAAGTATGGATTAGATCAGTTCTGAATTTGATTTGTAAGAAGGATGAAGGGTCATGTTTTTAGAAGTCCCATAATAATTGCTGTTCTTTATTAGAACATAACAGAGTGCCTGGAACAGTGCTAGGTATTGCTTATGCTAGTAAATATTTATTTACCGTCAACATTCATAAGATGTCTTTTTTGTGCTTTGCATTGGAATACAGTGATTACCAAGATACTCTCCTGGGCCTTAGGAACTTACAGCAAGGCAGGGGAACATAGAAGTAATGAATCAATTTTAAAACAGAGTAATACAAGGCTAGCCCTTTAGCCTAGTGGTTAAAGGATCCCACATGGTAGACCAAAGTTCAAGTCCTGGCTCTGGTGGCTTAAAAGCACATGCCTGTGTATGTCCAGAATCCTGGCAAGATGGAGAAATGGAGGAGAAGGGATTGCAGTGTGATCATAACCTACCGAGAGGTGCTTTCTCCCTCTCTCTGTCTCTGTCTCTTTTTCTCTTTTGTATATGCTCTCTGGCAATTGAAAAAAAAAATAACGAAACAGAATAGTATGTTACCAGTGAGGTGTGCAAAAGCTGCTGGGAATCAAAAAGAGATACCAAACACTTTCTGAAATGGAGTCAGAGACATTTTTTCAGAGACAGTCTTCCTAAACCTCAGGAATAATCCTGAGGTCCAGGCATTGTTTTTATCTCCAATGGAGAAAACAAAGACTTTATAAAGCTACTTACATTTTCTGAGCTCATATAGCAATTGGCCCTATTAGAATCTGAACCCAGGTTTCTGAATCCAAACCCCATTTTCTTTCCACTAGCCTAGGCTGTCTCATACTGGTCCTTTCTGTCTCTTAAAGTCTAGTGTAGCCCACGTCTATAGCTTTAGGGTGGAAATCACAAGTGCATCATCCATTAAGTACTATCTTAGCAGAATTAGTTAATGCTTCATTGAAGCTATTCAGAAGAACAGATGCGGTCACCATCAACCATTGCAGGAGGACAAAGTTCTGGCAGTGCCCGTCACTTCTTTGTGTGGCTGTTGCTGCCTCAGTACTGAGCCCACATTCACTCCAGGTGTGGTCTGGGACACCGTGCACCTTCTCATCAACACGAGACTACACACTCCTTGGCCAGGAGAAGCCCAAATGCTTACAGAGCAGAATAATATATTACTGTGCTTATCATTTTTTAACTTTATAAGTAATTGTGTACTGTTCTCTCTTTTTTAAACAGCCATTGTTTAAAGAAAATGAAGATAATTATATATTTTTGCATTTGGGCAGCAGCTTGGGCCATCCCAGTAAGTATGTCTGCCTCAGAAAACCCACTTACTTTGCTATCTCTCTTAACCTAACCTTCTATTTATATATAAATATGTGAAGCGTTTGCAGAAAAGCTGATTTCAAACACTTAGATTTGCTTTAAAGACAAGATATCTTTGGGGACTCAACAAAACTAAATATGCGTGCTAATTCATGCTCTCATTCCTCCAGTTGGAATTCGTGTCTTATTATTTAAAAAATACATTCAGATTAATTTGTATCCCATGTTCAGAAGTCTTGGAGACTTTGTCTGTCCTTGCTTCATGGCCCATCAATTTCATTCTAAATGAAATTAGAAGTAACAAAGCCTGTACCGTTCAGGAAGTCTTCCAGAAAGAATAATAGGAAAAAATAGGATTATTCAACATATGAGAAAGTTACTGTCTCACTCAGCGATTTATTATATGGGCACACCGTGGAAAATTTGGAATATACAAACATCAGTAAAGAAAAAGTAGTAAAGTTAAACCACTTGTAATTTTACTGAGCAGCCTTCATATTTAACTTCTCATATGCTTACATAATATCAAACATTTTGCTATTTCTGTAGTTGAATCTTTTCTCAAGTATTTTGAATGTGTCCTTGCTGAGCACAGAGGTAGCAGTCTTTTACTTGATTTTGTTCTGTAATGGCTTTGGTCATACCTACTAATCTCATAGGAGTTTTGGCTGAGATTATACATATAATAATATAGTATAATCTAAGTTTTAAGCTATTGTGAAAGGGTTATAGGAACCAGCAGATGGTGTATTGGCTATGTCACTGGACTCCCATGTAGTCGATCATGGTTTGAATCATGGACTCAGCGACTTATACCTCATGCTGGGCACGTGTGCTTGAGTGCCCAAAATCCTGAGAGGAAAATGGAGGAAAAGAGATTGTAGTTTGGTCATCCCCCTGGGGGGTGATTTCTTGCTTTCTCTCTCTCTGTCTCTCCACTCTCCAGCAAGCACATGTGCCCTATAGCAAAACAAACAAACAAACAAACAAACAAACAAAAAAACTCTCTCTCTAGAAAAAGAAGAAAAGGAAAGAAGAAAAAAAGAAAGAAAAGAAAAAGGTTTTATAGAAAGAAAAGAAAAAGTTTGTATAGAAACACCAAAGATCTATCTCCTGTTTTTTTGTAAGACTATCAATAAGTGGTTTGGCTAATATTTAAATAAGATAAAAAACATATACAAATGGAAGATATAATAGCAGAGACAGCAAATGTAGATACAAAAGACTGTATAGGTGGGGGTGGACTGCTGGGGAAAAAAAAAATTTAATAGACATAAGAATGAAAAGTTATCCCATAGAGTAATATCTTGACTTGCTTGACATGCGATGCCTTCATGCTTTGAGAAACCATGTTGTATGCTACAAAGACGTACAATGATTCGATATAAATTTTTTTAAGAAAGGAAAAAGACCTAAACCAAGTTTAAATTCTACATAAGCTCTACCAATCACTTCTCATTTCTGCCTGATTAGATCATACTTTGGCCTTCATGTTATTTTTTTCCATGAAGAGAAAAACATGTGTATGTGTGTGTATGTGCATGCATGTATGCACATATGCATATTCATAGAATAAGAATCTTTTCAACATCCGATGTTTTCACTTTGGCAGGTTCCTCAACTCCAACCATCTGAGAGGCATGCTGTTGAAAAGTCTGTGATCTTACACGTTCTAGCAAAATCAAAACTGCTAGTACAGGTATAGGACATAAAATGTGTTTTCTTTTCTATTTCTAAGCTGTTTTTAGGTTCCATTAACTTACTAAAACTGACACCCATTATTTCAGTGGGCATTACTTCAAGATGAGCTTCACAACTGACTGCATTGATTCTCTTTTCTAGGATGAGTTAAATGCCAATGACACTGCTGAAGAGAGTCGTGTCCCCATGCATGAAAGTAAAAGAGGAAGGCAACAGTACACCAAAGATGGCTACAAAGGAGAAGGCAATGGCTCCGAGTGGGCAGAAGTAGGAGGAGAGAGGCCTTCTACACATTCTACGCTAACAAATGAAGAGGGGACTGTTGAGGATCAGCCTGGAGGCACGGGAGCACCAGAACCATATGGTCATGATGGGATACACGGAGAAGATGACAACACCACAGCAAATGGGATCAGGGGACAAGTGAGCATCACCAGCAGTGCTGGAGCAGCAAGTGGGAGCAGTAATATCGGGGACAGTGATAAGGATACAAAAGTTGGGGACGGTGGCCATGCAAGTCAGAATGAGGATGCCACTGTTATCCAAGAAGATGGAACTCAAGTAGCTGGGGGCAGGAACACCACAGACCATGAGGAGGAAGTAAATGGAAATTCCTCTGGAAATGAAGGTGATACAAATGCTGTAACACCTCAGCAAGAAAGCGAGGGAAATGGGAATAGGGAATCTGAGGGAATACCAGGCAATGGAGAAGAGGCTGGACTGGATAATTCTGATGGGAATCCTAGTGGAAATGGAGCAGGTGAGGATGAAGACCAAGGCTCTGGTGATGATGAAGGTGAAGAAGTAGAGAATGGAGAAGAGGGCAGTGATCACAACAAGGGCCAGGGGGGTCAAGGCCATGGGAATGAAGATGACAATGACAACAGCATAGGTCACAATTCAATTAGTAGTGAAGATGATGATCCTGAAGACAGAGAAAAGCTCGGCAATGACATGAACGAAGACACCTTCTCCAGGAGTGAGGAAGATTCTGATGGTACTCCAGAAGACCATGGTGGCCAAACAATAGAGGATGCCCAGAAACCCAATCTTAGTGAAAGCAAAGATGTGAAAACTGGAATCATCAGAGAATCGGAGCAGAGTGCTATTAGAAGGAGCCAGGATAAGGTTGGTTTGTGAAGCTAATTTCTTTCTATGACAGTTTAAATTTTTCCTGTCCACCCACTGATGGTAATATAAAAATAAATCATGACAAGCACCTCTGTATTTTTACAGTCATGTTACTCGAATATTTAATGAAAATGCTTGAGTCCTCACTGGATTTATAATTCTTTTTTGTTTATTTTTTGAGGGTTTTTGGCTTTGTCTTGTTTTGTTTTGTTTTGCTATAGGGTGTGTGCATTCATCAGAGAGACAGAGAAAGACGCAAAGAGACAGAACGGCCACACTGCAATCCCTTCTCCTCCATTCCCCTCTTGGGATTTTGGGCATGCACGCACACATGTCTGGCATGACTTTAAAGCCACAGGGTCCGAGATTTGAACTGCAGTTGACCATGTGGGAGCCCAGCACCTTAAGCACTATGCCACCTGCTGGCCCTTGTCACTGGATTTTTATTAGAACATTAAGAAAAGATCAGACATTTTGGGACTAGCAGATGGCATAATGGTTATGTCACTAGACTTCCACATAGTCGACCATGGTTGGAGTCTTGAACTTAGCAGCTTAAAACTCACACTGGGTGCATGTGTATGTGTGCCCCAAATCCCAAGAGGAGAATGGAGAAGAAGGGATTGTGGGGTGGCCATCTCCCTGGGGGGTGATTTCTCACTTTCTGTCTCTCTCTCTCTCTGTGTCTCTCCAGTGAGCATAGGTGTCCTATAGCAAATATATATCTTTTTAAAAAATCAGACATTTCTGAAAATTTGAGTACAAGTCTAGATAAATCTTTTGTCAAATAATGAATTCACCACCTAGCTGGTTACAGAGTTCCTTGTGGGTAGAAATGTGGGTGAACTGTTAAAGAATCTAAACACCGGAGTCTTCTCCAGTACTGACTAAAGTACGTTTTACTAATCACTCTGTGAAGTACTGGAAGCTGCACTCCTATTCCCTAGGGCGCCTTTCCTAGCATGTCTCCCTCAGACCAATGACATTTTGCAGAAAATATTCATGCATGAATCACTCTCTCCCCATTGTTTCACAGGGACTAGAAATGGAAGGCCCTGGCGGTGGTAACAGAAATAATATTACCAAAGAAGCCAGGAAGGTCCATGAAGGTAAAGAGAGCACAGGACAACATGGAGTGATCATGGCCCAAGGACACGTCAAGACGCAGGGAGAAGTTAACGGTACACCGGGACCTGGTCAGAAATTAGCACTTGGAAATGAAGTCGGACGCAGGCAAACAGGCAGTGACAGCAACAGTGATGGCTATGATAGTTATGATTTTGATGATGACTCTGTGCAAGGAGATGACCCCCAGAGCAGCGATGAGTCTAATGGCAGTGACAATGGTGATTCAGAAAGTGACAATGACAGCAGTAGCCATGGAAATGCTTCTTATAACTCTGATGAATCACATGATAATGGTGATGACAGTGACTCAAAAGGAGGTGATGATGATGGCAGTGATAGCAAATCGGATGCTAATGATAGTGACATTAATGGTAATGCTAACAATGGGAGTGATGGTAATGACATATCAGACAGCAGCAAAGGTAAATCAGAAAGCAGCGACAGCAGTGACAGTAAATCAGATAGCAGCAACAGCAGCGACAGTAAATCAGATAGCAGTGACAGCAGTGACAGCAGCGACAGTAGTGACAGCAGTGACAGTAGTGACAGTAAATCAGACAGCAGTGACAGCAGTGACAGTAAATCAGATAGCAGTGACAGTAGTGACAGTAGTGACAGCAGTGACAGTAGTGACAGTAAATCAGATAGCAGTGATAGCAGCGACAGTAGTGACAGCAGTGATAGCAGTGACAGTAAATCAGATAGCAGCGACAGCAGCGACAGCAGCGACAGTAAATCAGATAGCAGTGACAGCAGTGACAGCAGCGACAGTAGTGACAGTAAATCAGATAGCAGTGACAGCAGTGACAGTAGTGACAGCAGTGACAGCAGCGACAGTAGTGACAGCAGTGACAGTAGTGACAGTAAATCAGATAGCAGTGATAGCAGCGACAGCAGTGATAGCAGTGACAGTAAATCAGATAGCAGTGACAGCAGTGACAGTAGTGACAGCAGTGACAGTAGTGACAGTAAATCAGATAGCAGTGATAGCAGCGACAGCAGTGATAGCAGTGACAGTAAATCAGATAGCAGTGACAGCAGCGACAGTAGTGACAGCAGTGACAGTAGTGACAGTAAATCAGATAGCAGTGATAGCAGCGACAGCAGTGATAGCAGTGACAGTAAATCAGATAGCAGTGACAGCAGCGACAGTAGTGACAGCAGTGACAGTAGTGACAGTAAATCAGATAGCAGTGATAGCAGCGACAGCAGTGATAGCAGTGACAGTAAATCAGATAGCAGTGACAGCAGTGACAGCAGCGACAGCAGTGACAGTAGTGACAGCAGTGACAGTAGTGACAGCAGTGACAGTAGTGACAGCAGTGACAGTAGTGACAGCAGTGACAGTAGTGACAGCAGTGACAGTAGTGACAGCAGCGACAGCAGTGACAGCAGTGACAGTAGCGACAGCAGTGACAGCAGTGATAGCAGCGACAGCAGTGACAGTAGCGACAGCAGTGACAGCAGTGACAGTAGCAACAGCAGTGACAGCAGTGATAGCAGTGACAGCAGTGACAGTAGTGACAGCAGCGACAGCAGTGATAGCAGTGACAGTAGCAGCAGCAGTGACAGCACATCTGAAAGCAATGATGAGAGTGACAGCCAGAGTAAGACTAGTAATGGCAAAAACAATGGAAGTGATAGTGACAGTGACAGTGACAGCGAAGGCAGTGATAGCAACCACTCAACCAGTGATGATTAGGCCAGATTCTGTTTGTGAAAAATTTGGAGAATGACTGACAGGAAATAAAGATTCCTGAGAATATAAAGAAAAGGAGAGCTAAACGGAAGACATATGTAAGCACCCACAGAAACAACCAGGGGGTCAAGTCAAACTGCTGGGTTCAGAACCAAGCCCCAGTCCCGTGGAGGGAGTCTGAATGTGGCCTGTGGTACATGCATGTCAAATGCTATTTATATTCTGACATGTTTTGTTTAAAGTTTAAGTCTAATAAAAGAACAATTAAGATATTATTTAATACTTAACACAGAAACCTCAAGTTATCACTTACTACATAATAACTTCAGTCAAAACGCCCGTGTTCTAGAAAACACAGCAGGCAAACTCATAAATGACCCGTGGCACTGCCTTGGACCTCCAGGAGTGATAAGTTCTGGGGAGTTGTCCTTACTGCTGCGCGAAGGATGCTGTGTTATGACAGCCAACTTGGCTGCTTATTCTAGAAAAGGAATAACATTTGTAACATGAAAAAAAAATTACAGCAACCATTTAATTTCTTTGGGCCATGGGAATAGTCTTTCTAATTAACAAATGGAATAATTCTATATTATGAAAAATGTAAAGAATGTTGGCTAAAAAACAATTCAGAATTTAGTTAGATAAGAAAATCTGATGTATAATATTACATTTTGGTAAACGACTGAAAATAGAATACAAAGTCCCCAAAATGGTTAAAACACCTGATGCAGTGCTCAGAGCAGTGTCTCGTTTCCAGTAGTCAGTCCCGAATGTTACTAAGTAAATGAACATAAGGACTTGGAGGGGGTCACTTCTTGCACCCTGTGTGGGACCATGTTGAGTAGCATCGATTATTTGTCACTGTGTCAGTCTCACCAAGTCAACCTGAACATGCCCAAATTTCCGACCTAGGCCCTGCTCTCTACCCACTATTACTTTCCCCAATAAAGCCAAAGTTGCTGATGGGTAATGCTTTGCAAAATTTCTTTCTTCTATGTGAGGGTCACATATACATAGATAAATCTGAGCACAGATTGGCTTTTGCATCAATGAGGGTAATTCTTAGTCTTGAGTTGAAGCCCAAACCATAGAAAAATAAGGATCCTCCAGGTGTATTAAAATAGAGAGTGGTATTTAGCAATCTGGATATGTAATTTATCACTCTAAGTAGGATGCTTTTGAGGGTAAAAGGTGCTACAATTACCTGGGGATAGGAGGTGTAAATTGTCACTGTCCCACAAAGCTGGGAGATGCTATGACCCTAACCTAGAAATGTGGAGGTTAATTTTGAAGATTTAATAGTGATTCTTTGACATTTTTCTCTTTTTCCACTTAGACAGTTATTCTAGATGTATTCTAATCCAAAACTAAAACTCTACATAACAAAATTATGAAAGCAACTTTAACATTAATTTTCAACCAGTTGTTAGCTGACAATTTATATTCAAATATTAAACATTTACACAAAGAGTAACAACTGTTTTTTTCCTACCTTCTTCCTCCTTTATGCAAGAGTTTCTTAGTTAAGAGATCAATATTACAAGGACTATTGCTAAAGACGTTAAATATACTGCTATTCATAAGCTACTTGTCGTTCCTAAAAGTACGAAATACCAGGGTTCCACTGGGTTGTTGGAAAAGTCATGAGACATTTTTGCATAGAAAAATAGAGAAAGACGTCATGACTTTTCCAACAAGCCACTACTGCATCGGAATCTGGTAAATACTCCAAACTTCTTTCCTTAAAACAGGCTCTAGTTTTCCATCTTTCCGCTTCAGAGATGGTTGCTTGCTCGGTTTGGTTTTAATTTGTACAACACTGCTTTTAGTACCTGTACATCTATTTCAAAAGGTCGTTACGAGCGCTACGTCAGGTGATCGATGTGGAACTCTTTGTAAATTGTACAAGATATGTAAATAAAAGAGAGAACCAATTTTGGTGTTAAAATAAACATCTACTTTTATGATTGCTTACAAGGAAAATTTCCTTCGTCTTAGTGAATTTGTAATACTTCCCACCTTTATTACAAAATCTGATGCATAATGGTAACTTTCTTTGAAAAATTAACCATTTCAATCGAAAAATTACACATATACACAAAATAAAAATGTCAAACATTCAAAAAAGTATACAACACTATTAACTCTAGTTAATATTCCTATTTACTAAAATGTTGTAGAACCTTCTAGAAATATCCTATTCATATGGAAGCATATCTGTGCTTCTTTTAAAAACATGTCAATGTCTACTGTATACAATGTGTTCATCTTACTCTTTTCAACTTAACAATATGTCTTAAATATTGGTTCATAGATGCAGATCAACCTCTTTTTTTTTCTTTTTTTTTTTTTCTGCCAAAGGGTGTGTGCCCTCACCAGAGGAAGACAGAGAGAGAGGGAGAAAGCACCCCCCTCCCCACAGAGTGTGATCGGCCTCAATCCCTTTTGATTCATTTCTTCATCCTGTCATCGGACACACACACACACACTCACTCACTCACATACGTGTCTAATGTGTTTTTCAAGCTGTCAGGTCCAGGACTGGGACTGAGAGTTATGGGATCTGGTTGAATTAACTGCCAAGTCACCGGTCCAGCCCAATCTTACTCTTTTTTCTCAGCCATTTTATTTTATTTTATGATCTGCCATGTGGTATTTAATATGTCCTTATTGTTCCATCACTAAGCCATTTCCAGTCCAATGAGGGTCTTTGTGGCTATTACCTGAGATAACAGCCTTAGCCAGATAAATTTCCAGCCAGTTCTTATAAAGTCTGACCCTTAAGAAGTGTTTCTTGGGGAGAAGATATTTAGAACATAGGGTTCGTATTAGAAATAATGAAGATTGGGGCCAATAGGTGGCATGGTGGTTAGGGTCCTGGACTCCTACATGGCCAACTTTGGTTTGAGTCTCAGACCTGGCAGCTTTCTCTCGCACTTTTCCTCTTGCTCTGTGTCATTCTCTGGTGAACACACATGCCCCATAACAAGTTTTAAAAAATTAACAAAACTAAATAAATAATATTCTTTTTTTAAAAAGAAATAATGATGATAGACTATGATCCTGATTTTCTTACATAATCACACCTGCATGGACTTCTGGACCTTGCAGGGAAAAGTGGAATAGACATGTTCCCAAAGAACATCTCAAGAGTAGATCCTTTGAACACAAGAATTCTGCTTCTAGGGCAAAGTGTTTTATTGTGATTTATTTTCTGGAATAAAGATTAAGAAGCTGTCTGCTACTATTGTCCATGAAAGCAGAATTTTTTTTTTTGAGAGGTTTTTGCTATAGGGCATGTGTGCTTGCCAGAAAGATAGAGAAAGAGAGACAGGAAGAGAGAAATCACCCCCCAGGGTGGATGGCCATGCCGCAATCCCTTCTCCTCCATTCTCTTCTTGGGAGCTTGGACACGCATGCACACGTGCCTGGTGTGAGTTTAAGCCACTGGGTCCAGGACTCAAACCGTGGTCAACTGCATGGGAGTCCAGCGACATAGTCATTATGTGAGTCCAGCGACATAGTCATTATGCTATCTGCTGGTCCTGAAAGCAGAATTTTTTTAAACCACAGGTTATCACTCATTTATTGGGTCATGATATCAACTGAATGAGTCATGACAAATATTTTATACAATGAGATAAAAAAGAAAAATCATAGTTCATCGTATTGCATGTTTGCAAAACTTGACCAAATCTCTGCATATAAACAAATAGGTACGAATACGTGTAAATTTTCATAAGCTAGGACTTGGTGTAAAATGTCTTTCTAACTGTTGGTTGCATTTAGAAAAGTTTGAGGCCATTGGTTTAGAAAAGCATTACTGCTTGCTATCCATTTATATTTACTTCTCACACTTTTCTCCGATAGACCTCTAAGCTTCTTTCTCACTTTCAAAGAAGAGGTTGTAAAAAGGGGGAAAGGTACCTTCTCTCTCTCTCCTCTTCTTTTTCTCTGTCTTCTCTGCCAAGCACACATAAGCCCTCTAGCGAAGAAGAAGGAGGAGAAGGAGGAGGAGGAGGAGGAGAAGGAGGAGGAAAAGGAGAAGAAGGAGAAGGAGAAGAAGGAGAAGGAGAAGAAGGAGAAGAAGGAGAAGGAGAAGGAGAAGAAAAGAACAAGAGAAAGAAAGATACAGTGTATGTGTGGAGAGGGCAGGAAGATGGGTGGTGGGTGTGTTTCTGGGTTTACTTGCCAGACAGGGAAAGCGGGTAACACTGTCACCCTTCAATGAGAGGGTATCATGAGGTATTGGTGGATTTTGGGGGGATTCCAGATCTCTTGTTCATGTCATGGATTATAAAATCTGGTGTTCAATGTTACAGTTCTTTTTTTCTTTTTCTTTTTCTTTCTTTTTCTTTTTTTAAATAACTATCAAGCAGCTTACCTGGAAGAACATGATTAACCCAATTAAAAGATGGAGCAATGAGCTGAATAAACAACTCTCGAAGGAAGACATACAAACAGCTAAAAAGCATATGAAAAAAATACTCAGCATCCCACATTGCAAGGGAGATGTAGATAAAAACCACAATGAGATACCACCTAACCCCAGTCAGAATGGCAAAGATTAAAAAAACTAGTAATGATAGGTGCTGGAGATGATGTGGTGAAAGGGGGGCACTCCTACACTGTTGGTGGGAATGTAAATTGGTCCAGCCACTGTGGAGAATATTATGGAGGTTCCTCAAAGACCTTCAAATAGAACTACCATACGATCCAGCAATTCCACTCCTGAGTATCTACCCAAATGACAGGAAAGCATTCAGTTGGAAAAGTGCTTGCACAACTATTTTCATTGCAGCCTTATTCACGATTGCTAAGACTTGGAACCAACCCAAATGTCCACAAACAGATGAATGGATTGAAAAATTGTGGCATATATACTCCATGGAATACTATTCAGCTATAAAAAACAAGGCCCTGGAATTTGATAGAAAGTAGACAAATATGGAAGATATGTTGCTGAGTGAAGCAAGGCTATGAAAGAGAGACATTGTATGTCT